TACACACACACACACACACACACACACACACACACACGTTCCCCTATTCCTATACCTAAACCCCCACCCCCACCCCCTTCCAATCTTAAGCCACACTCACACATCCCCAGTTATTCCTAAACCTCTAAACTCCAACCTCTCTTCCTTTCCCAAACCCCCAACACCACGAATTCCAAACCCCGGCTGTTCCCAGACACGATGCTCCGGTTCCTCTCCCTCCTGTGTGCTGTTGCACTGTGTGCCGCGCACTCCTATTACATTTCCGAGATTCCCAACGGCGACAAACTGCCTAATCCGTGCGGCACCGGCACTTGGCCTGGTGTTGGTCACTGGAACCTCAACGGCGGTGGACCCCAGAACCCCTTCGGGGAGGTAAGTCTCGGTTCACCATACAATAATAATACATGTAATGATGGTTAAGATAATGACGGTGATAATGGTGATGATGATGTTGATGATGGTGATGATGATGATGGTGATGATAGTGAGGATAATGATAATGATGATAATAATAATAATACTAATTGGTGATGATAATGATAATAATAATGACAGTAATAATTAATTATTATAATACATGTAACAATAATAATAATAATAATAATAATAACGATAATGCCACTAATCTCAATGATGATGGTAATAATATTGATAGAAATAATATAATAACCATGATAATGATGATGATGATTATTGTCTGACATTGATCAATGCATCCTCTGTGTATTTAGGGATAAGGATAATGGGTTTGAGGGGTAGGAGTAGGGAGAGACGTATGTTAAGATGCACTTGCGGATTCTGCTACGGCCAAAGAGGCCCACTCTGGCAGAGAAAAGTTTGCCTCATATTTTATCACTATACACACAACAAATTAAAGTCTTTGGCACACGTCTCATTAGCGTGTCGCTAATGCACGCAGAAGTAAGCTCAGCCGTGGTTGGCCCTGACAAGGGTCAAAGCAGCCCGCCCCTAAAATGACATGAATGGGGGGGGGGGGGGGGGTGGTTAACGGCAATCGCAACTGCATAAGGTCACTCGAGCCGAGCCTGTGGGAAACACTTAAGCATTTTCCGGTAGGTAGGAATAAATTTTGAATTTTGCGTGCTCGATGCCGAAGCCTTCTCTTATCGGTTTTAGGACCACCAAGGGATTTTTCACGTGCACAACTTACACATGTGACCACCGAGATATTTTTCGCCCTTCTTTGAGTAGGGTAGTGTTCGATCTTACCTACCGTAAGATCAGGAGTGAGGCTGAAAGACAGCAGTAAGTAAGAGGGAGCTAGGAGAGATCAGTAGATGGGCAGCAGAAAGCGCCAGGAGCCTAGAGGAGGGGGCAAAGGGGGCGGGGGCAGAAGATGGAGACGAAATCAGACGACAGAATATGGTTATATGGCAGGAAATGAGGTGAATGGATAACATTTTTAGAGAAGAAAGTTTTCCGTTACAGCCAGGTTTCGAACCCGAGACCTATTGAATGAGAGGCGAACACCATACCTTTCGACCACGAGAGCCCCCTATAGAGTAAATAGGGACAAAAACGCCTACAATTACGTGATGGAATTATTCTTTTAGTAACAGATGTCAATGGGATTCTTCTATTGATAATAAATCGCTACCCAAAAACTACAAAGTTCTATTTGCTCAGTACCTAGTTTAGAGAAATTCAATGCCGAAGGTTTTGAGTTTCACAACTTGCCAAGCGTTTTCGACTGCAATCTTTAGATATCTTGATAATAACTCCGAATAATCTTACGAGTTTGATACAGCAGATAGAATATTTGGTTTCTGACCTCATGGTCTTAATACACCCAAACTGCCAAAAATGTCAGACAGAACTTTGTAGGGGCTCTCGTGGCCTAGAGGTTAAGGTGTTGGCCTCTCATTCAAAGGTCCCGGGTTCGATTCCGGGTAGCGACCAAAAAATTTTCTTCTCTAAAATTGTCTCCTTTCACATCCTTTCCTGATCTCTAACAATGTTCTGTTGTCTGCTTTCATTTCCACTTTCTGCCCCCACCCCCTCACCTCCTTTGCCCCCTCCTCTGGGCTCCTGACTCTTTCTGCAGCCTTTCTACCGCTACTCCTTGGCTCCTCCTAACTGCTGTCTTTCTACCACACCCCTGATCTTCTGGTAGGAAAGATCTACACCTAGCCTTCTTGGACAAGGGCGAAAAATCTCGAAGGGCCCGTGTGCAAGTTGCGCACGTTAAAGATCCCTTGGTGGTCTAAAATCGATAAGAGTAGGCTTCGGCCACCACCCGGGCAAAATTCAAAATTTCCTACCAACGAAAAAGTATTAGGTGTGTCCCGCGCGCTCATATGA